TTTGCGGATCATTTGGCCGATATATTCTGCCCGCATAACAGCCAGGACGTGTATGAAAATGAGGAATCTGCTTTTGTTGGGGATAGCGTGACTATTCCAATTATCAAGGAAAGAGATGTTATAGAAGAAATCAGGACTCTTAAAACTAAAAAGGCCCTAGGATTTGACCTAATAACGGCCGATATTTTGAAAGAATTACCTAAAAGGGGTACAACGATGTTTACGCGCCTAATAAATGCATGTATAAGGTTCAATTACTTGTGCCTGAAATTTGGAAAGTTGCAGAGATAATCATGTTGCACAAACCTGGCAGACCTATAGACAGGGCGACTTCTTATAGACCAATCTCATTGTTGCCGATGATTTCAAAACTGCTAGAGAAACTTTTATTGAGAAGACTTCAGCCTATAATTGAAAGTAAAAGGTTAATCATCAATTTTTTTTACGCCGGAACCACTCAACCATAGATCAGATTCATAGAACAACTGACTAAAATGTAAAATTCACTGGAAGAAAAAACAATATGTTCTATCATATTTCTGGACGTAGCCCAGGCCTTCAATAAGGTTGGCATTGTGGATCAATAAAAAAAATAAGGAAATGAATCTACACAAAAATTGCAAAGGGCCAGTGATGAGATCTCAAAATGGACTAGAAAGTGGAATATAAAACTTAACGAGGTGAAATCAGTACACGTAAATTTCACTAATAGGAAAATTGACAATTCATTTTCGGTTCGAATAAATGGCGTCTTGATTCCGTCCGCAAACACGGCGAAGTATTTGCGAATGACGTTGGACGCGAAGCTCAGATGGAAGGAGCACATAAAGAAAAAGAAATCTCAACTAGAGGAGGGCTACAGAAAGTTTGAATGGGGAGTCGTTCTAAATTGACAATATACAACAAAGTTTTGATATATAATCAAATATTTAAGCCTGTCTGGGCTTACAGTATTCAGTTATGGGGCTGCGCTGCGCAGCTTCATATCTAATCTATACAAAGATTTCAAAATAGAGTATTACGGGACGTTGTAAACGCCCCTTGGTATGTCCGTAATGCCGATATACACAGGGATCTCACGATCCTAAGCGTCAAGGACGAAATTAAAAAGCAAGCAGCCAATCATAAAATGCGTTTATCCAATCGTGTCAACATCGAGGCGGCTCGTTTAGTTGACAATCAAAACTTTGTTAGGAGACTTAAACGTAGGAGGCCTCTCGAGTTAGTTCAAAGTTTTTTATCTGGAACAATTAGTACTCAGTACGCTATTGTGCCAGATCAAAAGCTTGTAAATAATAAAAAAGGTTAGAGCAAAATTAATGGGTAGTCGTTTCCGACTAGTCTTATAGTTTATTTTGAGGAGGGTGTTTTTTAGTGGATTAAAGTTCCACACTACTGCTTTTCGTCTGGCAGTGTCTTTCGAGATTTTTCACCCTTCCTCTCGGTAAAAAAAAAAAAAAAAAATTTACTAGAATTAATGAGAAAAGCACTTTTAGACAATGGCCTAATGTGCGTGTATTGTGAAGATAATTCACTTTTTATTGACTTTCAAGATTTATATGTAAAATACTTTTCATCTAATAAAACTTTTGAAGTCTTCAATTAAATTAATTGACACACATTAATTAACATTTAACTAATAACTATAGGGGTGTAACGGAACTATTTTCCAAAATAAAAAATAAATATTATTACCCAAACCTTTTAGTAGAAATCACAAAAGTAATTAATAACTGGGATGTATTTCAAATAGCGAAACATGATAGAAACCTTCCTAAAATACCTTTGGAATTTCCGAAACACCATATAGTTTCAATGATATAGTTCACATGGACATTTTGTATCCTGAGAGAAATAAAATGTATTTAACAACTATTGACAAATTTTCAAAATACGCGACTTTACATAAACTGAACAACAGAAATTGGATCTCAATCTTAGACTGAATTAAACAAAGAATACAAAATTTGGGAAAAATGAAAAAACTAGTGTCAGATGGCGACACGTGTATTATATATTGGGCAGACATATTATTTTTGAAAGAAAACGATATTGACTTCCACCAAGCAACACCAGGCAAAAAAACGGGTAATAGCGATATCGAACGGCTTCATGGTACCTTTAACGAGCATCTAAGGGTCATGAATGCCGAACGTAATAGATATAATCTTGATGATCGTCTTTACAAATAATCACCTATTACAGCAATACGATACATTCAACAAAAAAACTGAGACCAATAGACTTTACAACAAAAAATTTTGATAAAACTGACATTCAAAATTTAAAAATAAATATGAAAATGAAAAATTATTCAGGCTAGAAAAATTCAATGCAAAAAAGGACCAGCAATTCCAACTGACAAACAACATAGTTAAAAATAGGCAGATAGCAAAAAATTCCCCAAAATATAAAATATTAAAAAATTTCACTAAAGAAAATAATTACGTGACAGACACCAGTAATAAAAGAAAAATAAAATACCATAAAACGCAATTAAAACGAAAATATAATCATCAAATAAATTCTATTTTCAGAAACCGTGAAAATAACGGCGACATTTATTATACTTTGGGCAATTCTATACGGCGGAGAAACACAAAACCTAGAAGTTACCCCTATTTATACAGAACATGGTTTTACTCTACTAAGGTTGGAAGAACAACCTATAATAGATCATTATACAAGAATTTTGCAAGTTATAAACTTAAAAGAGATTGATGATCTTTACAAAATCTTCATAGAAAACATAAACAAAATGTCAATCAACTATAAAGACAATCCTAATTTTGTCTTACTTGAAAGAGAACTGACAGTTTTACATCGCAATATAAAACCACATTTACATAGAATTAAACAAGGGCTTATTAACTTTCTCCGTAGCACTGTTAAATTCGTAACTGGAAACATGGATTCCGAAAATGCTCAAGAAATATATGATCACCTAACGAATCTCGATTAGAATTCGAAACAACTCGTGGAACAATCAAACAAACAAATAATCATCAACAAAGAACTGTCGTCTGCTCTTCAGAATATCACTAATCATATAAATAAACAAAAATCAAAAATTGATAAATTCCTTAACAAATCTATCAACAGGGAAACAGAAATTTTAGACAAATTAACCCAACAGGAAACTATTTTCCATAATTATGTTGATATTTCATATTTAAACAACTTTATAGATCAAATAAAGGATATATGTTAATTACAAAAAATTAAAAAATTATTTTAACGCAATTATGTTCTATAAAGGATTAATAAACTGACATTTACAAAAAAATCAAAATCAATGCATGCCATGCAACTTATAAAGACTGAAAGTAAATTTTTTTAAATTTTTGCATTTTGAAAAGACTTTCTTTACATTTTGTATATTCAGTAGCAGAATATTTTGGCACATGACATTTTGATTATTGAGGAAATCGAAACACTAAATTTCACAGCAAATATATTACCATTTATAAAAAGTGACGTACTAAAAACGATGATAATGTAATTGTAGTGATTTCAATACCAACCTTTTGCAAAGAAAAATATTTCAAAGCCATTGTACTGGCCTTTCCAAATTCCAAATATGAACAAATTAACGCTGGGAATTTTAAAATTCTTATGAATAATAATAAATTTTTTGATTATACTCGTAATACTAAAATTGTTACTTAAAAAGATTTAAAATATCCTAAAGAAGAATGTATTTGAAATGTTTTATCAAATAATTTAACATGTCATTTTGAATTGAATAAACTAAAAACTGTTGAGGAGTTTAAAAGTCATGTTATCATGCCTATTAAAAATTTAGCACTTTTAAAAAATATTGATAACATAACATTAGAAAATTTGTACACTGAAAATATAAAAAAAAAAAAATAAATAATTGATTATGTAGAATTTAAAAACAACTTCTCTATTATAATCTCCTTTACTTTTACCGTATTAATCATAATGATTCTAATTGTAATATTAATAATTTTAATTAAAACTAAATGTATTAAAAATTTAAAAACTAATAACAAAAAAAATAAAATGCATGCACTTAAGATTTCCGGGATGGAAATCTCTAGGGAGAGAAGTGTTATATTCGATTAATACACCATTAATGACCATGTGATTATGCTTACCCTAAACGCTTATCCTAAACATGAGCCGATCATTCCAAACGAGCATGATCGGTTTTTGCTGAATAAAGGTTTTTGCATTCACACGGTAAAGCTTTTCGCATGGTCTCAAAGCATAATACGTAATTACCTTTTTTTGAACATAACACGTGTACTTTATTTGTACATTCATTTCTTTATTTTTATTTGTTGTTTTTGTTTTTAATATAAATTAATGTAGAATAAGCAAAATTATTGTAAGTAGCTGTAAAATTTTATGTTTAATTTAAAATAAAAAAGGCAATCTAGATTCAACCGTAAACGAGGAAGTTTTATTGTAGAATCATAGATAACTACATATATACAATTTAAGGAATGTCAAGGAAATCCTAGCGGCGTCCATTGGTAGTATAATCGACCTGGTTTATATTTGCAATTGGCGTTTGAGAGAATATATCGCTCATCTAGGACTGACCTTTCAATTAATTTTGTAGCAGCTCTGGAGAAAAAGAGATAAAAGAGGATTTTTCTATAAAATTAATGACAATCAGTTTTTCGTGGAATAGGATCGCGTTAACCAACTAACTAACCATTCCATCATAAATTAAAAAAATGTTAAAGTAAGCTCACGACTCATAAGTAGACGTCTTTAATTTTTTTGCATATATTAAATATTTTTAAGTTTAAATATTTGTTTTAAACTAAAATAAAGGTACACAAGTTTTTCGTGGAATATGATCGCGTTAACCAACTAACTAATCATTCCATCATAAATTAAAAAAATGTTTAAGTAAGCTCACGACTATTAAGTAGACGTGTTTAATTTTTTTGCATATATTAAATATTTTTAAGTTTAAATATTTGTTTTAAACTAAAATAAAGGTACACAAGTTCACATACCAGGAGAATGACCAGTTAGAGCGCCAGAATGATGATGACCTATCATGTGATTTACCCCATGATATGAAGAATGAATCTGGTGATGAGGAGTTAAAGGACTCTCTGACAACGGTGTCAATGTTGTCATTTGTCCTGTATGGTCTAACATTTCAAGGCCATCAATTGCAGGGTGCATCTAAAATTAAAATATGTCAATTATTCTATGTAAACTCTAATAATTTTATAATAATTCTATAATGTTCTATAATGTTCTACTATAGAATTATTGTAGAATCTTATAATATCTACTCTATAATAATTTTATGTAAACTAAGATGACATAATATTTTAAACTGACATTTGCGTAGCTAATATTACTTGTTTTTTATTGGTCTAAAAAAATGAATGAGTAGTGTATATGCTAGATAAAAGTAGGAAAAACATTTCATATTAATAATTTAAATTTCCAATAATACACAATTTTTGGAATATACAGCGTGATTCAGCAAAGAGTACAGTATTACATATTATTATTTAGGGCATCAAAAATGGGTAAAATTTTTGTTTAGAACTTTATTGAAAATTGTTATTAGCTTTACCTCCAATGCAAGTTTCAACATGTTTCATCATTCGTTTTGTTTCTTTTTATAAAAAAAAAATGATTAGACAGGAGAATAATAAAAATAAAATAATAAAAGGTATTTTATATTTCTGAGGTATTTTATATGATAACACGTTATTGAAAATTTTTGTGTGTTCACATTTTAAGTACAAAAGCCAATAATATAAATATTCATTAAATATATGTATTAATAAAGGAAATAAATAATAATAAACATTGATAGTTAGAAAAGGTTACATGATTAATTTTTAAATCAGTTTTGTGAAATAAAAACTAAAGTAAAATAAAATAAAGGAAAAAAGAATAATAAAAAAAAATTTTTTTCTTGCGGGTAAGGGGGGGGGGGGGCGGAGCGTTGAGAGTTTGAGAGATCGCGAGGACTACTCGAGGGACGCCCAGCTTCTGCATTTCCTCACAGACGAAATAATTGTAGCTTTAAAAGAAATTTATCCTCTACCCTGGGTAATAGAAGAGACTGAAGAAATGATCGAGAATGTGCTTGAGGACGTTTGAAAAGAGTTGCTGTGTATGCTTTTCTAATATATTAATATTGTTTACATATAACCAGTTTTTGAGCTACAGCCTGTTGAAAAATTCACCCATACAATTTTTTGCTGGAAACTTATCAATGCTGAAATTATTTGCCACCTTATGCGAAACACCATGTATTTCGGATTACTGAATCGAGAGCCTTTTTCAAATAAAAAAACACCACAAGATTGTTTGCTAGATTTTTTTCTTCTAAGTAATTAGTAAACTGCGTATTTACATATGTATGTCTCAATTTTCTTGTAAAAAATTGATGCTATTGATATTGGTCTGAAATTATTGATATCATCTATATCACCAGAGTTTTTGTATATAGGAATTACTCGATTTACTTTAAAAATTTTAAGTACTTGTGTTAAAGATGCATTTATCAATTTGGTAATGCTCAATTCGCAATTTTTAATAACTAACGCCTAATAACCTACTGAGTTTGAATCGGACATTCTATCTATTAATTTCATAGTCTCATTTCCTGCAATAATTTGAAATTTGAATTTATTTGCAGCTCTAATTTTTGGGCAAATATATTGTATGATTAAATATATTAAATGAAATTTTAAGCCATTTCTTCTTCAATAGTGTTAAATTAAATTTGCAAAGTTTTCGTACTTTAGCTTCAATTTCCCGCTCTTTGTTTGCAAAATAAATTATTTATTACCTGCTTTTACCATTCGTTTTCTATCATATATTTCTCTTTTTTCCTTTTTAGCATTGTTAGCCAATTCAACGAAAATGTATGTACATTTTGTTTTAAAATATTCAGATTCCTTATTTTGATTATATTTTTTATATCAATAATTTTCCCTTGTTATTAGAAAGACATATTTATAATTTACCCTAGGCGCAGGAAATCTACTACATTTTATATTTATATTCTTGACAACGGTCTTACTTGTCACAAATTTTTTCGCACTGGGTACCAATTTTTTTGCAATACTATCAACATCAGTATCTAAATTGTGTATTGTTTTGTGGAAGTTTTATATCCATTGATTCAACAAATATTGCTACATGATCAGAAATATTATTGTGAATGAACGATATGTTTATTTCAACGTGAAATTGAAAAAAATGTGATCCTGACCTGTATTAGATTGTGAAAATATAATTTTAATTGTTATAACTTAGCGTGTCTATCAAATTAACTCTTGCATTGGAAGAAATCGTTGTTTTAGTTGAAATCAAGATTATTTGAGTATGTTTTATTACGTAATTGAGGCCGAGCTTTAGGATTTCGCGCTTTCCTATATCAATCAACGACGATTTTTTTCAACAAACAAAAAGAATACTTCGATTCTAATAGTTCAATCTATTCCCTTGCAGCTGGCAATATGAAGAAATTCGCAATTTTCAGTCATTGACACTATCTCCTCATTGATAAATCTATTCTCATCGTTCAATTCTACATATTCCCAGTAAGTTCGCTTTTTGTCATTGGATAATGATGGATGTTTATCAACTAATATGCAAGTAGCTCGCGATCAAAGGTTGAGTATTTTTACTCGGCGGGAGTGAGTTTTCTCGAAAAGAACGAGAGTGATTCCCAGTTGTCATCACGCTGCTGCTGCAAAACAGCGCCGACAGCAATATCAGAAGCATCCGCAGCGAATTCCATCCGCACGTTCCATTCGAAAGTGGATGTGCCAAAAGAGTGATCTTGATAAGAGAGTCCTTAACTGCCGTAAACGCGTCATTGAGACTTTCAGGTCAACTAAAGTTTTTGGCAGTTTTTGGCCTCCTAAGTAACTCAGAGAGATGAGTGTAAATAGGAGAAAGTAATTTAGCAAGATTGGGTACGAACCGATGGTAATAGTTAACCATACCTATAAAGCGTTGTATTTGGCGGACTGAATTAGGTACCGGGAAGTTAACTATCGCGTCTACGAGATCCTGTGAAGGAAATATACCAGCACTAGAAATCTTGTGACTCAAGAAATCCAATTCCGAAACACCGAAAATGCACTTAGAACTCTAAATCTTAATATCATATTCGGACAGACGTTTAAAAAGGATTTGCAGGTGTTGCTTATGAGGAAGAAGGTCTACATATCCCGATGCTGACCATATATTCGAGTTCTGTTTTAGCCGTTTTATGATGCACTGAATCAAGTCTACGTGGAGAGAAAAACGGAAATTGTCCCTTGGTCACAATGTGATGCACGACCGAATGCCTAACAGGTGTGGAATAATCTGAATCCTGAGTAAGGGTTGAATAATTTTTAAGAATTTCTCCGAATTTACTTTCCACAACGTAATGCACAGGTGCAACAACGTCAACCTTAGCCTGTGAAACCTCAACCGACATATTTGTGGTTGGATCTACCAATCTCCTGTTGCTGAGATCGACCAATAGCCCGAAACGTTCCAAAAAGTCAGCGTCTATTATAGATCTACCTACTGACGCGATGATAAAAGCATGTGAAAATTGTCTGCGCAAACCGATGTTTAGTTGAAATAGTTTACTACCGTAAGTTTGTGTAGGAGCGCCGTTTGCAGCAGAAAGCAAGAAGTCCGAAGGCCGATTTTTGCATCCAATGTTTCCCCGATTTGGTATAACAGAGACGTCAGCGCCCGTGTTGACAAGAAATAAAACGTCGTTGTTAAAGTCTCTTATGAATAAGCGGCGTGAAGAGTAATTCCCGTTATTAGCCATGACAATAACGCGGCGCCTTAGTTTGGGGAATTCGTATTTGTACTGGTGGAAGTAGTGTTCGCCCTATGAAAGGAGGCGGGGAATTAACACCGTCCTACACATTTCAGCGCCTCACGCCCGAATTTTTGGTGGTACCAACAAATGGGTTGCCCAGAGGCGGACCTATTTTGACTGGAATTCCGACTTCTAGAACGACTACGAAAAGTTGATCCCGTATTGAATTTTGCTAACATTTCTTCAATCCTCGACAAACGATCTTCTAAATTAGATGAAGTGTCGGTGAGTTGATTCGAAACTGGAGAGCTAGCGCATATCTTATTCGTTCTCGAAACTGCATTTAAAAACACGGGTTGAGAAGCCTTATAAATTTTATCTGCCAGGGAAGTGAGCTCTTTCATAGGCTTATCACACACGACTAGTAAGGTGATGTAAATGTTGCGCGGTAAACGACGAAGCCACAAATTTCCTATAATATTTTCATTAAATAAGCTACCCGCTAGCATCCGCATGGACTTAAAGACGTCGGATGGCCTACGATCACCAATATCTACTCGATCCAGGAGAGACTCCAATTTTTTAATTTTGGAGAGCGAATGTCTTTCTACGAGGGCCCCTTTCAGAGTTTCATATGGCCGCGAACTTGGTGGATTATTTAAAATATCGATCACGAAATATAGTGTATCTGGAGGCAATGCAGACACTTCGTGTTTTATCTCGGTCGCAGGACTGAAAGGGTTTGAGTCGGCATTTGTTTCTTCCTCCAAAGCACTAGGATTCGCTCGAAAAAAGTCGGAAGTCGGAGGCATCAAAGGATTTGTAGAATGGGTCTGTTTGATAGGCATTTTCTTATCGTTCGACATATTTAAATTGATTGTGTGAGACAGAAGATTTAAAACAAAGAAAAATTTGTATCAAATTAAAATCAAATGTTTAAATGAAAACAAAATTTCAGAACGGTAATCTAAGCCACAAAAATGTTAAAATGGAAAAAAATTGAAGAATTTTCAATCGAACCTTGATATTAAATAAATATATTTAATACATCCAAAAATAAATGAATTGTATTAATAAGGCTCAGTACACACTTAATAGGTCGATATAGTGTATAAAATGGTAAAATAGCTAAATTTGAAATCAAAAAATTTAATGGTATAGATGCAAAAATAACTTTTGCGAATTCAAGAATCTCCTCAAAATAATTTCATATAATTATATATGAATCCTCGAATCATAAATTTAAAAAAGTTGGGTCAAACCAATGGTTTGTATTGTAGCCCTTTTCCCTTCAGCAAGTGAAAATTCTGCTTTTAAATACAGTCTATGTATACCTATCACACATTCTAAAAATTATTTTCATTCATTAATGAAACTATTTCTAGGATTGCATATATTTAGGATGAACGATTTATGCAGTCTTTGAAATAAAGCAAAAATTAATACAGAGTGGGGTTAACATAATGCTCAATTTTAAGAGTTGATTGTGTGAGTTAAGAAAAATAATTATATCTTTTAATGTCATGGAATTTACCGTTAGCTTTCCGCGTTTATAGAAATTTGAAAAAGCTTGCGGTTTCGGAAATATAAAGCGTCAAAAATTAAAATTTTACAAATTTCAAGAGGCGATAAATTGAGAGGGGGTGGAGATGGAAAAAAATTTTCTTCTAACGAAATAAAGCATTTATCAGTATTTAAAAGCCTCTAAAATTTCAAGCTTCTGCCGGGTGGGGTCTTGAAGAAAAACGACATTAAAAACTTGGAAAAAACGGACTTTAGATAACGGTAAATTTGAACGGCCATTTTGTTTTTCTAAAGTTTAACTATAGTATACCACGCTAGGAGAAGCAAGCCACTGCCTTTCTGCGTTTGCAAAATTTTGCAAAATGCTTATGGTTTCACTGCACTAAACAGTTAAATAATGGCATTTTTAGGGTTTTGGGGGGAATAACTTCTAGAGGGGGGGAGATAGGTAAAAATTTTGTTCTACAGAAATAAGTTTCTAGTAAAGATCTATGTACGTATTAAATTTTTATTAATCAGCTTTCTATCTTCAGGGTGTAGAAGTTTTGTAAACAGACACACGGACAGACGGACGGACGGACAGAGTGAAACTAATAAGCACTTTTTTTCAAAAAATTTTTGGAAATGTGCTAAAAATGGAAAGAAAACTTGGTTTAATTTAATATTATTTTAATTTAAAATTTACTTATTAAATTAGCGTTCAATAAAAAGTGGTTTTACTGTATTCAACAAAAAATAAAAAACAAATGTATGATCATTTCAGGTAAAAAAAATAATAATATCAATATGAAAGGTCACAATGCACTCAAATTTTGACAATGTATATGTGCAAGTTATATATCCAACTAACCAAACACTTGCAGAAATCATAGAGTCAAATTCAAAGATTTCTGTTGATTCTGAAAATTAATATTATTCTCATAAAAATTTTATTCTCATAAAAAATTAAAATTCAAAATTTTAATTTTTGTTTTTTTATTATATTTTTTTTTTCTTATTTTACTCTGAAATTATTTCACACGGTGTTGACTAAATAAGTAAAGTAATTGTTTTTTCATAATTTTCATGAATCTCAAATTTCTAAGATAAAAATTTAAAAAATATATTTTTTTATAAATTTTCGTTTTTAAGTGCGAAAGACTAATTTCGACACCACTTAAAAACAACCAGACGATATTAGAACCTTTTTTGTTTTTTTTCCTTTTCTTATGAAATATTAAGTTCACACACTCTGTGTGAAACTGTCAGATTAGGAATTTTTTTTCCAAAAGTAAATTTTTTAGTTTAAGACTAGTCATAAGAAAATAAAGATCTATTTTAAGAAATTAAAATAAAGAATATTTTTTGTGTTAAATTTCTATCTTTTTATTACATATTATTGAAATCAAAAGTTAAGTAAAATAAATAGAAAATAAACAATACTGATTAACGAACAAAATTAAACTGGCGCAGCAACGGTAGAATCGCCAGCTAATGTCTTGCAATTATTATAACTGAAAACAGTTGTAGCGACTTTAGTTTTTTTTTAAAAATTTGTGGCGATTAAAGAACAACAAAAAAAAATTTTTTTAGTTTTCAATATATAATAAAATAAACAAAAGTAAGTGGTTAATAAAACTTTAAAAGCCATATCAAACTTTTGTTTAGAAAAAGAAAGAACACAGAAAAAAAAATAATAAAGTAAAAATTGAAACATTTTATGAAACCGTATAAAATTTATACACAAAAACGAAAAAATCTAAATAAGTGCTTAAAAAAAATTTAGAAAAAATTAAATTGATAAATACAAACATGGCACTTAGTCTTAACTCAATTTCTGCTAAAGACCTGATAACAGAAACTAGGTATATTTCTATATTCAAGGGTGACGGAACCTTTGAATTATCGGCGTTTTTCAAGGAATCTGACACAATTATAGGATTAACACCCGATGTGGCTTTGAAGTCCTATTTATTCAACATCTTTTTGTCAAAAATACAAGGACCTGCCGCAGTCAGCCTAAGGAGACTGGAAAATGCAACGTGGTATGAAGTAAAAACTCAACTGAAAAAAACATTTGGAGTAATAATGAAAGTAGTATTTTAGAAAAATTTTTAAACAAAATTCCTCGTTGTGATAATATGTATTTGAGAATTAAAAACGTTTCAAGCTTAGAAGAGGCTTATCATGAATTATTACAAACCATTATTTCAAATAACTCAAATTTAAATAATAAATATTCCAATAGAAATCAAAATTCATTTAATAGAAATAGCAGAAATTTTAGGAATTTTAACAATAATAATACCAATAATAATGATTTTAGTATTAATAATAACTTTAACAATTTTTCACATAATAACAGTCATAATTTTTATAACCGTAACAATAGCCGGGGCAATAACTATTTCAATAATAACAGATATAATAATAATAATAATAACAATAGCGGTAATCGCAACGTTTCTAACCTTAAAGAAATTTTAATAATAATTATAATAACTCGTCGCAAAACTCAGATTTAACAGAACAATAAATTTTAATAACAATAATAAAAATAATCAACCGCCAAAACCGATGGACGTTGATGTTAATTTAGTATCACAAAATACCCCATCTGAAGAAAATTTTCATTTACAACCTCGGACAACACTCTACCAATACTAAAATTTACTATTGGTAATAAAAAATTTAACTTCTCTATTACAACTTCTATTATTAACGATTCACTATTCCCCGAAATTACAAAGACAAAATTAAAAGAGCCTGTAGAACTAAACACTTTATTTGGAAAGAGCAAAAATTTATTATACATTAATAACTAATGTTCCCATCGAATTTAAAGAAAGCTCAGATACTTTGGAGGGTAATTAATTTAAAAAAAAGGATTTTGATGCAATTTTGGATCAAAATGTTCTAAGAAATATTGGTGCAAAAATCGATTTAAAACAAAACTTTATTGAAATTATGGGAAAAATAACAAAATTTAAATTTTCTTGCCCTTATGAAGTTGTTGACGAACTATATTCTTTAGACTTTAAAAATAACAACATTCTTGATTATATCAAAACTGACCATCTCAATAATGAAGAACATAAAATGTTGAAGAAAATTGTTTATAAAAATAAAGACCAAGAAGGCCAAAATTTAACCAACATCAATTGCATAAAACATCAAATCATAACAACCGATAGTCGACCTGTTTACTCGAAAATTTATATATTTCCTAAAATTCATGAACTGGAAGTCGAAAATCAGGTTAAGGAAATGCTATCACAGGGGATAATCAAACATAGTAGCTCTCCCTATAATTCTCCAATTTGTGTGGTCCCTAAAAAACTAGATCAATCGGGACAGCAAAAATGGAGAATCGTCGTAAATTATAGGAAGTTAAATGAAATAACTGTAGAAGACAAATTTCCGATTCCAAATATATAATCACTTTCGATAAATTGGGAAAAGTCCAATCCTTCACAACACTTGATCTCGCTAAATAATTTCACCAAATCCTTGTAGACGAAAAGCATCAGCAAAAAACAGCCTTTTCGACTCCTCAAGGACATTATGAGTTTGTCAGGATGCCATTCGGTTTAAAGAATGCTCCGGCAACATTCCAGAGAATGATCAATTACGTTTTACACGACTTTATTAATAATGACTGCGTTGTGTATCTTGATGATATACTAATTTTCAGTGCCTCACTTCAAATAAAAATTTGAAGTGAGGCTATAATAAAAATTTTTGAAAAACTTAGAAAATTTGATTTAAAAATTCAGTTAGACAAATATCTCTTTTTCTCTAAAGAATCGGAATATTTGGGCCATCTTCTTACAGACAAAGGAATAAGACCCAATCCAAAAAAAATTGATATTATGAAAAAACTTAAACTTCCAAACTCTCGAAAATCTATTAAAAGCTTTCTTGAGATAACCAGGTATTACCGGAAGTTTATAAAATTACGCAAAAATTGCGCAACCTTTAACTTACTGTTTGAAAAAGGATAATAAAATCGATGTAAGTAATCCAAAATATATTGCCGCTTTTGAAAAATTGAAAGAAATTATTACAAGTGATCGTATCCAAATTTTAATTACAAATTTACCCTGACTACCGATGCAAGTGACTTCGCGATTGGAGCTGTTTTATCGCAAAACGGCCATCCGATTTCTTTTGCCAGTAGAACATTAAATGACCATGAAACACGCTGCAGTACTATAGAAAAAGAACTGTTAGCAATTATATGGTCAACAAAATATTTTAGAACCTACCTTTATGGTGTCAGATTTACATTAAAAACGGATCACAGACCTTTGGTATGGTTGAGTTCATTAAAAGAACCTAACTCAAAACTACAATTAACTGA